TTTTTGTGTTACATAAATCATACAGCATACAAGTATAGGCACTTCCAGTAGCAATGTATTTATAGCATTGGCCTGTAGTCTATGCATGTTGTCAACAAACATTGTGGTAATCGTGCGAAAATAGAGGTAAGCTATAAAACCTTGAAACATTCTTGCTATAATAGAGCAAATGTGCTATAGTGCCAATATAAACTCAAATAAATAAATAGAGCTTTAGATAACCATAAGCAGTGCTAGTGAAGAGATGGAAAACAAGACAATGTCAACAAGTGAAGCTGAGGATTTCACACTAACACAAAACACAGCCTATCAACCAGTAGTAAAGACTCATACTAGTACTGAAGAAGCAATGTACTCAGATCTTCAGGACTACTCAGGTATATACCATACAAGTAACTTGTTATTAAAACTAATGTATGATATATTCATTAGATTATCAGCTACCAAAAGCTAATGTTAAGGATACCAAACCTCCTCAACAACCAGTGCAGTATACTGTAGGAAAGAAGTCATTTGCTGCAATAATAATTCTACTGGTGATCATAATATTCCTATTGGTAGCTATACTTGTACTTAACTTAATATCAAAAGATGCTGCAAGCAGCAACAATGCTGGTCTCACTAATAGTGGTAATACTGCTATTAACAGTGAGATGTCACTGATACAGGATACAATGAATAGCATAATTCAACAGATTATGATACAAGCTAATAATACCAACAGGTCTACAGATGAACTACTTCAATTACTGAACACTAGTCTTATTAAAGATATCAGTATACCAACTGCTGCTGCTGTTAATGATGTACTACTAATAGTCAATGAATTATTAGTGATACAGAATGGATCCTCTTTGTTTAATTCCATTCGACTTGTTTCTTGTAAATATATTAAAGCAGCTCGTCCCAACAGTCCTTCTGGTTACTATCATGTTAACAGTCACAATATATACTGCAATATGGGAGAGCTGTGTGGACAAGATGGAGGATGGACAAGAATAGCTTATCTTGATACGACTATGAACTGTCCTTCTGAACTTGAGGAATGGTTCACTGGAGGCATTAGAGTTTGTAGGAGAGAGGGTAATTCTGCTGGTTGTAGGTCTAATGTATTCCAAACAAATGGTATCAGTTATAGTCAAATATGTGGTAAAGTGGTTGGATATCAAAAGGGAACACCTGATGCTGTTTATGCTAACATCAATGATATCAATGATGCTTATATTGATGGAGTCAGTATCACACGTGGGTCATCTCGTCAACATGTCTGGTCTTATATAGCTGGGCATCAG